TTTATGTTAGTAACCTCATAAAAACTATCACATAACTACATGATTGATAATTGTATTTTATTAATGTCATCGTTTTATTTCTCATAGAGATTTATACTCGCCAAATTTTATACAATATTAACTTAATAGTAAAGATAATATTATTTTTTTTAAACTTATATAAATTTTCAATATATACACTTGAAGAGTATCAATGGCATCATAGGTCAAATATTTATATTTTTTTGTGATATTTTATAACTCTATATTGATAAAATAAGTATTCTTATAGATTTATTTTTATTTTATTTTTGCATGGTTGTGTATATTTTTAAACTTTAAAATTGAGGTTTCTATAATATTTCCAACTTTTGTTTTTTCAATTTATATACCTTTCTATATGTATTTTTTATTCATTTTGTGGCTTATGTAATGTTTATATGTTATGTTTATATTAGCAAAATCACACTTATCAATATGACATTTTTTGTCTTTAACTATTTAGATAAAATTTATAATGGAAAAAATTTGTAATATAAAAATATATAAATCTCACTTATTTTAGTAGAAAGTTTTTTTTCTTTTTCTTAATAAGTCCATAATCTTTGTTTAAAATATATTCCTTATTTTATTTTTGTTAATATTAGAAATATTACATAGTTTAGTAGAACGATTTTTGTTTTTTTTTCTTAATTAGTCAATAATCCTTGTTTATAATATATTCCTTATTTTCTTTTTAAATATTTTTGTTAATATTGACACATGTCACAATCTAAATTAACAATTACACATGTCACGATCTAGTGCTTAAGAACTTTGCCTACGTGTCAAGCTCTCATCGCGCGTATTCTCCTTTATATAATAAGACTAGAAATTGATCCGGGGTACGCCGGGGTATGTTTTGTAGATTTTTTTGCTATTTTGGTATACATAAAATTGGATCATGAAAGTTTTTGATTTTATGTATCTAAAAATTTTTTTTATGTCAAATATAAAATAGATAAAATGATTTCTTGATCTCTTTCACTTTGAATATTTGTGTTGTTTAAAATTTAGAATTTATTCATGTGAAATTCAGTACATAATTTAATTTTTGCCGACATGTATGTTTGGTTACCCTTTTAACTCATTCATTATCAATAAATTTAATATTATTTCAGTATATTTTTTGCATATGTTTATGCATATTTCTTTTTTCCAATAATGTTTAGATTTATCGATTATTTGAAATTTGATAATACACAAGATGACATGCATTGAATATCTCCAAATGCCTATTTTCCACAAACTCTAAATAGACTTACCAAAATATTAATTTCTTTAATTCAAACACAAAACCTAAAAGTTAAATTTTTTTTATACTATTGTATGATTTTATCTTCATATCATATAACTAAGAACTAACATATTCTTTTGATACCAATTCAACCACTCACTCGAAAAGTATGAAAAAAATAGAACATCAAAATGTCTATTCCAACTTTAAGTGCATTGTATCGAATCATATGTTTTATCAAATAGTTTCATATTTTTTTTAGTTTTGTAATTTTTTTTAATAGGCAACATTGACATAAACGAATGTAAAAGTACAATGGCAAGCAAATTAAAAATGGTAGAAAAAACATTGACAGACTTCATTCAATAATGGTTTGTTGAATTTTACTTTAGATATTAATTTAATTAAAAAAAT